TATCGCCGCAAAAACCCTTGTTGTGTCATCGAGCATGTTAATTATCAAAATATATGGGATCTACCATCCGACAATGCTCGTGTCCAAAATGCTTACAGTGACTCTGTCCAAAATGTCGACAATGTAGAGGCCGAAAATGTTAACGTAGTTCAAAACAACTCTTCATCCGGTGCTAGAATTTTTATCAACTTCTCACAATACTTTCAAAACAATGTTGATGTAGCTCAAAACAATGATGATTATGATGATGAGGACGAGACCGAAGTACCTCCGCCAACGGGTAGAATCGATAATGTTTCCGAGGAAGAGATTGATTATGATGATGACGATTTTGATTATGATACTGATGAAGAAGACATTGAAGTATATGAAGGCGATTCAGATTAAAAAAAATCATATGTTTTTTTTGGTAATAGAAACTTTATTTGAAGTCGAATTTTTATTCATATTGTTTGTCTAACTTTTATTCATGTTGTTTGTCTATATTGTATATCTTATAATTTTGTAGGGTAATTAACTTTTATTCATATTGTGTTTCTATATTATACATCTTATAATTTTGCAGGCTATATATGATTTTTAGTTGGGCGATAGTCTTTACCATGATGGTCTTTACCATGATGGCCGATATTATGGGCCAAGGACATGGAGGTGAGGGAGCCGGGGATCAACCACCTCCAGTAGGTTTTGGTCGTGGACATCACGAACAGGATGGTAAGCCTTATTATGATATATTTTTATTAGCTATTTTTATTAATTTATTATAAGATATTGTGACTAAAATTTTTAATTGTATTTTTTCAGCCGAGCTTCCAAAAAGAAGAAGGGGTTTAACAAAAAACTCAAGCTAGGAAGGTTGATACAAACAAACAAGGGAAAGCCCGTGGATTTGGATTTCAATAGGGAGATCACATATTCCCCTGTCGGGAAGCATGCTAATTGGTTTTCACATGATATTGGGAGGTATATGTGGATGAACATCCCTTTCAGCATATCTGGTAGGGACAATGTTTCCCCCACTTTAAGGAATGCAACAGGCGTGTATCTAAAGGTAACTTGGATAATATTTTGAGTTTAGTTGTGATTGGTATTTAATTAATTAACTAACTTTTTTTTTGTATTTGTAGAATAAGTTTGATTTGGATAAGATTAACTTGGGTCCCGAGCGTGCTCAGTTGTTGCGGACCATTGATGCGACTCTTGCAAAAATTTACAGAGACCGGGAAAGTAAATCCCATACTTACTTTAAGGATACTGGGGGCTGAAAATATCCTACTGGCATTAGAAAACCCCCAAGGGCATGTCACGTGAAAATTGGGCACAGGTAGTCGAACATTTCTAAACGCCCAAATTTTTAAAGAGTCCGACGTCAAACAAAGAAGTCCGTGCAAAACAACAAATTGTAAACAGAGGGGGGTCGAGCTCATATGACAAAGTCTGTTTCAAAGAAGTAGGTTATGATATATTTAACTATTTATTTAAAATATAATTAATCTAATTTTTAATGCTAAATAGGACATCACTCGAATCGAAGCATTTCGTAAGGCTAATACCAATCGCCAAGGGATATTTAGTAGTCCTGTAGTTGAGCAACAATACGCAAGTGGTTAATTTGTATTTTCATATAAGTGTTTATATCGTCAAGGGGTATTTACTAATCTAATTTTTATGATGTTTATCATTTTGAAAATACAGAATGCTTTACTCCAAGAGATCAATCAACAAACCCAAGCTTATTCTGAAGCAAGCGGTCTAACACCAACTGATGTAAAAAATTGTTTTGAAAGAATATTGGGTGTTCGACGCGGACATATCAGAGGCATTGGGCGTAAACCTTCTACGACTGTGTCTATGTACGATCAGGAACAACCGATGACACAACAACCACCAGAATCACATGTAATTGTTAGTTTAAGTTGAAAAGTATAATAATATAATGGAAAAACGAAAAAAAGTAGGATGCTATAATGATATGTTGGTAATTGTTTGTTTAGTATATAGTACAATGCTATAATGATATGTTGGTAATTGTTTTGGTATTTATAGTTTGGTAAATTTTTTTGAAAGTACAATGCTATAATGGAAAAATAAAAAAGTAGAATGCTATAATGTATATGCAATATTGTGTATGATGTATGTTTAAGTGTATTTGGAAAGTAGAATGCTATAATGATATGTTGGTATTTTGTATTTTGGTAATTTTTGGAAAGTACGATGCTGTAATGGAAAAATGAAAAAAAGTACAATGTTATAATGTATGTGCAATATTATGTATCATGTAGTTTGGTTATAGTTTGATATGTTGGTATTTTGTAGTTTTGTAATTTTTTGGAAAGTACAATGCTATAATGGAAAAATGAAAAATAAGTACAATGTTATAATGTATATGATGTATGTTTAAGTGTATTTGGAAAGTAGAATGCTATAATAATATGTTGGTTATAGTTTGATATGTTGGTATTTTGTATTTTGATAATAATAATTTTTGGAAAGTACAATGCTATTATGATATATTGGTGATATATTTTGTTTTCTTTGTAGTTGGAAATGCTGCAAATAATACTAAAGGACCCGACCTGTTCTGTGGCACTGGAAGATTGGTTTCGCTCATTGCCGCCACGAAATGATAACAAAGGAAACGAGGGGAGTGATGAGGACGATTTGCTACTTTTTTAGGATTTATGAAATGTTTTGTTTGAGTTAATATTTTGGATATATTGCACTTTGTTTGGATGAATATTTTGGACCGGTTGTATACAGATTAATATTTTGGATTAGATATAGTATTAAGTGTGGTTAATGTTTCGAACTTTTTTTTTTGCAAAATTAAGTTGTGTAGCAGTTTTTATGCATATTATATTGTGTTTTTATAATTATAATGTTAAATAAAAAAAGAAAATCTTTGAGCGGCGACACGTAAGCATTAGCGACGACACAACATTAGTGGCGACACAGAGCATTAGCGGCGACATATTGAGCATTTGCAGCGAGGCAATAACGGCGACCTTTTTGCGGCGACACGTCGCCGCTAATAACTTTAGCACCGACATACACACTCTTTAGTGGCGACGCATGTCGCCACTAATGATCACGTTTCTTGTAGTGCTTTCTAATCATATTGATAAAAAAGTTACAATTTTATCTATCAACTTAATATAAGAATTATTATTATATAGGTAATGTCAATAACAAAATTATTTTCAACCACACACATTTCTTAAAATTTTAATCACGTAATTTATACTTGCACAACGCATAGGCATTCACCTAGTCTATATATACTTATAAAAAATACATTTTTACTTGCACCACATGCATTTGAAACCTCCATTACTTTCCAATTTCTTTCTAATAATTATTAAAAATTGGTTAATAATGTTAAATTCATGCAAAAGCTAAATTCTAATCATAAATTAACTAAACTACAATATTAAAATATCATATTTTACTTATATTTATAAAATTATGAATTTAACTTTTTTTAACATATTATAGTTAAATTATTAGTTTAGATATGTTGTCGTATATGAACAATTGCCATTTTAAAGTGATAACTTTTGTATAATTTATGATTTTATGCAAAATAGTTAAATTATTAATTACAATATAGTGTTAAACTGTTAGCTTAAATCGAAATTTCAGTTAAACTTGAAAAAGATCAAGAGACTATTTTATAAATAATTAAAAGTTATAAATTATAGTGTTAAACCTAAATTGTAATCCTAAATTAACTAAAAAACAATGAAGTTATTTTTTATAATCATTAAGAATTTTCAAATAAGTAGCTTAAAAATAATTTACAATAAGAATAGTTAAAAGTAATATTATATAAAAAATTATAATGTTATCTTTAAAAACAAAAACAATATTTGTTGTTTTAAATAATTACAATCAAAGAAACTAACAATATTCATCAAGTAAATTTTAAAAATGTTAAATTTCTGAACCAAAAGTTTCCAAATACGTTATTTTTTTATAACTTACAACAACAATAGTTAAAAGTAACATTATGTATAAAAATTATATTGTTACCTTTAAAAACAAAAACAATGTTTGATATTTTAAATAATTACAATGATCGAAATTAAAATCTTAAGAAAATAAACTTTTTAAAATTAATTAATCATAACAACAACTATGAATATCATTAAACCCTATATTATATTTAATTTTATTAATGAGTAACCCACATGTAGAGGTCATTGAGACAATTGAGATTATAAAATTTTAAAAGATGTCTATATTATCATATAATTCTTAACAAACACTTTTTATACCAATTTATTATAAGATTTATTATATAAGAGCTAACAACAACATCATTGATATATTTAAAAAACATATATTTGTAAAGATTTCAAATATATTGTTGTATTCTGCGTAATGCTCGAGTATTCGCCTAGTGTTGTATAAAGCAAGCTGAAAAAGTACTATTTCTAAAATTCAAAGAAAATCTAGGAAAAAAAGATGCCACAAGATCATTAAAACCGAACTAAAAAAAGTACAAAATGCACACTTTATAAATATTACAAAAGTTATAATCGAGTTCATTATAGAAAGGGATAATCATCTCTATATTCAAAATTACAACTAATTAGATAAATCACCTCTAAATATCCTTAACTTCAATAAACTTCTTATCTCACTATGACTTGAAAAAAAAAAAGATCCAAACATCCATGATATCTGGTCTCATGGAAAATATTTCTTCAAAAAAATATAATTCAAGTCCCAAAAATGAATGTTTTCTACAACCCCGATGCCACAAAAGCTTATATCTTTCTCTTGTTGCTATATAATACCATACCACTGCAAAATTTATCACAAGTGTTATATGAACATTCCAATTTGGAGAGGTCTCGAATCCCACAAGCTTCAACATTTGGGTGACCTGCTGTTGAAAAAAAAAAACATTCAGAATCACACTTCCACTGTTTCCACACATACGGTTATCGCCTATATAACATGTACAAATTGTTGAAAGCATCATATCAAGTTACCTATAGAGGATGCAACAGCGAATAATCTTCAAGAAATTTTGGTTCTGTAACAGCATCATTTTCATTTGGTGGTGTCAAAAGCACCACCAGTGCCTGTAGTTTTACCAAATAGTTAGCACTTCCATCAGGAAAAAAAAATTATGATTCTTTAGCTAGAAAAAAAAAGGGTGTGCATAGGTCTCACCTTAACTCTGCTTGAAGGTATAGTCGCCAGTTTTATCAATGCTTCCTTTAATTTTGCACTGCTGTTTATGGTCGGCAGGTTATATCCGCCTTCAGCAGCCACGATGATAGTAATCTATACGATTAATATGGGAACATGACTTAATCTGGTAAGCTATATATTATTGTTTCTTTTTGACTCAATACAGAAAGAACAACTTAAGAGAGAAAGAAGCCAAAAGTACTGACCACAATATACTCGTTACGGAAGTCTTTATATATTTGAGTTGTTGCATGTTGCTTTCCGATGTTGTTGATTTTGACTAGTGTCTCCACAGCAAATTTACCCCTTTCTTCAATACAAAGTTGATTAAATTGGTTCTCAACTTCGTCTATGCTCCTTTTTGTATACACCTAGAAAATTAAAATACCAAAATCCAAACATTCAATGTTCTAAAAAAGTAATTAATATTAACAACGCACTTTCATGCTACATAATTGGTCTACAAATATAGTTTTGCTACATGGATGGTAAGGTGTTGTTTCTTTATTATTTGATGGGGATATGATATTTTTTTTGACATAAACGAGCTTTAATGAGTCAAGCACTTAATCTCAACAGACATACATGATTGTTTCGTTTTGACTTAAAATATGGACATGCCTTAATGGATTAAGCGAAAAAAAACCTAGCTTAATGTAATTATTAAGTCTCTAGCCATTGACCTAGATATTTGTCATTTTTCCATTTTCCTCTTAATCCTCCCATGATAAATTGATGAATATTGTGAATTTTGTTTTTTGGAATGTAAGAATAAAATGGCCATTTAATCTTCATTTATTCGGTATGATAAAGAACAATAAGAATAAAATTGTCATTTAATCTTGACTGATTCGGTATGAAAAAGAAAAAGGCGTTATGTAGACAACACTTAAGAACTTATATCCGGATGGACATCATTGTTCATTCAACCACTTTACACCCAGGAATTTATGGGGAAAAAAGAAACGACCCTTAAATCTGATGAACTATATATGTGTTTCTTTTTTACTTAATCTAGAAAGAACAAATTAAAAGAAAAAAAAATAGGGAAAGGCGATAGAGAAGTGCATACAGAGGAATAACCAGAGATGCAAAAATCAGGATGTCGAAGTAGAGCTAGTGTTGTCTCTGCAACCAAAACCAAATCATTTTAAACATTAATAAAAAAAATATACAACTAATAAAGACTTAAGATTAATAGAACTTTTGCCTGATTTTATGATAAATATAGCTGACAGTGGGTCGACTTGAATTCGGTTCGAGTTCAACCCATTTATTAAACTTATTGAAAATCTCAATCTGACCCAACTTGTTTAATTAAATGGGTTCAGATTTCCAATCCAATCCAACATCTTACATAAATAAATTGAGATTGGGTTGACCTATTTATTTATTTTTCCAGCCTAACCTGCTAAATAAATGGATCGAACTCATGTTAACCCATTTAATATATAAAATGTAAATAGAATAAAAAATGATTACACCCACTTAAATAAGTTATAAACACCAATAATATTTTTTTCAAAGTTTGGAAAAGATACAATCACAAATCCAAATAAATCGTTCAAAATATAATTTAAATGTTTAATTTCTAAGTAACTTGTTCCCAACTCAACTTTAACTGTTAGCACGACTTGTGGAGTGTATAAACCACCATGAAAATGACATATGTTCATTTATGAACATTGGTGATTTTCATGTTTATATACGAACATATGTTCATAAATGAACATAAATCATTTTCATATCGTTATGTGATATAATTTGATCATGTAAACATCATTCATTACCTTGTAATAAATAGCTCAAGCCTACGGAGCTCAAGCCCTCTGGGCTGTATCTATTAGCTGTCTTAGCAATCCGATTGAGATCCTTTTGCAGTGATCTACTCGTACCCGACAATCCAACCTTACAAAATACAATGTATAACAGTTACTCATTACAAAATTTGAATTTGTAATTGAGGTTATGGAGTAGATTTAAGTAATTGTTGAAAGAGCATAATACCTGAAGCTTGAGAACACTTTTTCTCTCGGTATTAAAAACCACTAAGCAGAAGGCCACCACCGTAAGAATGGAACCCAACATCATCATGGAGGCGCCAAAACCTAAGTCATCTCCAACCAATGGTTGAACTCCAACCACTGACCCAACTCCACTGGATGCAGCAACCATGGTTATGATCGTTATCCTCCAGGCTTCCAATTCCCCCAATTACATTTTCCCCTTTAGGCTTAGGGCTCATGAAGAAGCATTCAACTCTCAATTTGGGGGAATGTCTGATCACCTTGTAAGAAGAGTAGTTCAATTTGAAAGCAAAAGACAACTTGATTGGTAAAGAGCGAAGTGGAGATGAACGGAATGTCTGTTGGAACAAAGGGTTGAAATTGAAATTGGGTTGTAGTTGGAAAGCTACATTCGCCATGAGAGGATGTCGGAGGGAGTAGGATCTGATATGGGGGAATTTCGTGGTGGTGAAAGGATGAACTTTAACACTGTGTTCTTGAGTTCAAAAGAAAGGATAGAAAAATAAATATTTTATGTGTTCCAAGGTTGAAAGGAAGAGAAAAGAAATTACAAGTTTATAATTATAGTGCAAATACATTACCATTGCTAGCTAGTTTTATTGTCTACTTCATATGTTTCGTAGCCACAATACAAGGTAGACTCTTATAGTTAATTTTTGATTTGTTTTTCATCACCTATTTGCAATGAACTGGTATTATAAGAATACATAATGAAACTTGTAATTATTTATAATCAATCTGTGTTGATCCAACCAACAATAGTATATTTAGCATGAATTCTGTCAATTAAACCCATAAAACAAACTGAAAGTTGTAACTAGTTGCAGTCATATGGGATGAACATAATACTGAACTACTGAGTACTGATCATGAGAATTCATTAGTAACTTATCCAACACGATCACCAACGTTTTCTCAAAATCACGATTGAACATTGACGTTTATAAGTACGTACTTAGTAGCACAATCAAAATGCGACTTATAAGAAAGAAAAAAAAAGGAAGTTATTACCTCAGCAAGAAATCGATGGAACAGAGTAGAATTGGGTTTTAAGAAGTGAACAAAGGTTATAACTGACTCGTCTAAGTATAAAGAAGAATTAATAATGGAATATGCAACAACGTACCTGTGGCAGGGATGAAGAAGGCGCAGTGACTTGGAGGCTGGTGATGGAGCGGAGAACAATGGTGAGGAAGAGAGGTTGCGCTATGCTGGCTTGAGAAAGATACCTAAAGGGTAATTAGGTAAATGTTCAAGATTTAGATCAACGATAGATATCTTTCTCCCCAAATCTCCACACTTTGGGAGGAAAGATTTTCATAAATCTTTTTTCTTTTTCTTTACAAAATAAAATGCCAACGAACATGATTTTCCAATTTCTTTCCAATTTCTTTCGCTCCTCTCGTTAAATTGAAATCGAGAATGCAACGTAATAGACCAAAGCCGAGGGATGGGCTCTAGGGGCGGACACAAAAATGTCTAGCAGTAGTGACCCAATTTTTTTTTCTCGATCATATTGCTTTACTTTTGGACCTATAGAAGATTATATAGAAGAAACACCGGCATGGAATGTTTTACCAAGTGACAAATCAGACCAAGAAGAGGAGCCACAAGAACAACAACCTTCAAAAAAACGAAAATTTGCAACCCCACAAAAACGAAGGCAACCAAAAAAACCAACACAAACAAAAAAAACCACCACTATAAAAAAAAACAAACACAAGAAAAATAACCAACAAAACCAAAACCCAAGAACAAAAAAATGACTCAAAAGGAGTTAAAGGACCGGATTAACCCAACCAGACGAGGTGAGGGTAGAAATAATTGTACCGCTCCTGTTTGGAATTACTTCGAGATAGAATGGATAAATGAGGAAGATGAAATTGAAAGAAAGTGGGCCGAATGTAATTATTGTTTACATTTACTATCCGCGGATGCAAATCGGAATGAGACAACTTCAATAAACAAACATTTTAATGGCTGAAAGTTAAATCCGGACAACAAACCGAAAGAAGTTGATGACAAACAACAAAAGTTGTCATTTACGAAAGCTCCTAATGGTGAGGGTCATGTATACACATGGAAACATGATGATACTAGGATCCAACTTGCCTTACTAGGCCTTTTCACCATTGGGGAACTACCCTTTAAATTCATTGAAAACAAGGCCTTCATAGAATTTGTAAACGCTCTCATTGGTAGGGTGAAATTGCCTTCAAGGCATAAATTTTCTCGTGATGTTGTGTCCTTCTATTTAATGGAGAAGCAGAAGCTGTACAAACATTTGAGCAACCCCAAAACAGCCATCCACTTGACAACCGACATGTGGACATCCTCGTGTCAAAAGATAAATTATATGGTTGTCACGACCCACTTCATTACCGAAGATTTTGTCATGCACAAAAGGGTAGTCAACTTTAGAGAGGTTGATACTCACAAAGCTGAAGACATGGCCCGGGAGTTGCTAATTTTCATAAACGAGTGGGGCATGAAGAATTTCATGACCATGACCGTTGATAATGCCAAGACGAATGACGCGCCAATCAAGATCATTGTGAAAGAACTGCCGGGTATTTACGAGAATGACAAACATTTTCACATTAGGTGTATGGCTCATATCATAAACCTAGTTGTGAAAATGTGGTTAAAACACGAAGTTTACCATGTAAAAAGCGTACAAGATGCGGTGAAATACATTAGAGCCTCCCCGCAACGGATCAAGACCTTTAAACAAGCCATGAAGGATGCGGCTGTAGAAACTCAAAGGTTTTTGTGTGGTGAAACTCCAACAAGGTGGAACACTACCTTTGAATTGCTAAGATCAGCATACGATGTGAAAGACGCGTTTCTCGAATATAGCTATCAAGGTAAATAAAACCAAATATGTTTCAGCACTAAAAATTAGCAATATTTACTTCTTTAGCATTCTATCCAAAATTTGAAAGTTGCATAACTCACTAAATTTAAGTTGGTTTGACCTGAATCTTTTTTCTACATGTAGTTTAGGTTTTGTAGTTAAGTTTAGACTATAAAAACGCTTAATTTGGTTAAAATTTGAATGAGTTACAAGCCCTGCAAGGAAGGGTGTCAGAGTTTTTTTTATGTTTCAGCAATTAAACGTAATCTGACTTTGTTGTTCAAATGTGCATAACTCACTCAATTTAACTTGTTTTGACATGAATATTTTTCCTACATGTATATTAGGATTTGTAGTTAAGTTTAGACTATAAAAAAGTTTGATTTGGTTAAAAATTGAATGAATTACAATCCCTGCAAGGAAGGGTGTCAAATCAGAATTTTTTTTAATGTTTCAGCAATTAAATGTAATCTGACTTTGCTGTTCAAATGTGCATAACTTACTCAATTTAACTTGTTTTGACCTGAATCTTTTTTATACAAGTAGATTAGGATTTTTAGTTAAGTTTAGACTATAAAAACGCTTGATTTGGTTAAACATTGAATGAGTTACAAGCCCCGCAAGGAAAGGTGTCAAATCAGAATTTTTTTTATGTTTCAACAACATACATGAAACTTTGATTGTATTTTCTTTGTTCTTTTTTATAGATCCAATGTTTCAGAAAAGTGTGGAAAGGATACCATCGCATTCAGACTTTGAGATAATTAAAAACATGATGGAGTTCCTTGAGAAGTTTAAGAAGAAAACTGAAAAAGTTTCGTGTTCAACAAAGCCTATCTTCCATACGTATACCCGGGAGATCCTAGACATAGAGCAGCATCTTAGGAAACATGAAACCAACCCGGATTTTTTGTTTATGGTACCGGATATGAAAGACAAATATGACAAATATTGGGGTGACTATGACAATATAATTGATTATCTCTTCTTTGCGACATTGTTAGATCCTCAATGCAAGTCAAAGTTTATGAAAATTGTTTATACCCAAATGCTTAATGTCACAACTAGCATTTTTGCTAGGAAATTCTACTCTCATGTAAACATCATCTATTTTAAAACTTGTACTCTAAATGAAGATCATACTCTATGCTCACTCAATATATTTCTTATAATCAATAAGGTGTTGAAAGCCCTAGAAATCCCGGTTCCAGCCTAATACGAGCTGGGGTTCTCTTATTGGGCCTAATGGACCAATAAACCTTCAACTTGACTATCTTTGGTCTAGAAACCCTAATTGGGCTCTAATTAGACCCACACTTGTAAAACTTTAGCATATTGGGCTATGAGAGCCTAGGATGATCCTTCTTATTTCTAATGGGCCGTAAACCCCTTCATTGGGCTTCATTGGGCCGAGACCCTTAATAAGGGCCCAATGGGCCGAAAAATATTATTAAACTTTATGAATTCGAACAAGGCCAAGAATGGGCCCAAAGATCTCTCCATCTTCATTTTCTTTAGCCCACATGCTTGGCCCATAAATTTGACAAAAAAAGGGAAAAATGAGGAATATTGTGCTTATGACACCTCATGTTTGCATGGTGGTTTTACATGCAAACATCACCTCAATTCTCTCTCTTTCCCTCTTATTCTACCATAGGCCGAAACCCCAACCACACACCTCCATTTTTCCTTTCAAACACCTCCAAAAACCTCTCAAGAAATCATCCTCCTTCCTCTAAATTTTCGAGTTTTGGTGTGTAGTTTCAAGAGGATCTTCATCTAGATCATCATCTTTGGTAAGTACTTACTTGGATCTATGTTTTAACTTCAAGATTCCATCAAAAATCTCTTCTTAACCCACATCATCTCATGATCTATGCTCTTGAACTTCATAGACTTCAAAAATCTCCTCAAGGAAAACATCTAGGGCCGAAAATCTTCTTCAAACTCTTCATCAAACCAAAGTGAGTTCATACCCCCTATTTTCGATTTTTACTTGGTTTTGGGGGAGAATACAAGTTGCTTTATGTAGATCTATGTGTATATGCATGAATATGTGTGTTTTTCATGACTTATTTGTTGATTATGTGCTATTTACTTCATAAATCTAAAAATATGTTAAGAATATTAAGTTTATCACTTGGATCTACATGAAAACCTTGAGAAAAGTATGTGTTATCACATATAATACATGTAAACTAGTAGATCTGAGATTTATACACTTAAAATAGCAAAAATGAGTGTTGTGTTCAAAGATCTATAAACTAAACTCAAAATTCAGCCCTTGACAG